GACAGATTTTATTGAATGATAAGAATTATTATAAAGTGCTTAATACATATATGCTGAGCGCAGCAACTAGGTGCATGTACAATTTAGGGGTGTCTTGAATTCTTGAAAATACATGTTGGACAGAGTGGCAGAAATAAAGATGACAGCTATTGTCCTTCCGCAAACCTTCACTACGTATGTTTGTGCTTAAATAATAGAATTCGATATGACCATTTTGATTTACCCTTGGGTTCACAATTAGAAGTGGAGCTTTTTCTGGGTTTTCCAGGCTGAAAAATAACGTCTATATATCCAACATGTGTTTACCAGAAATTTTCTGTAAGATAACTGTTTTTCATTAAACATCGAATTCTAAGGAAATCATATGTAAAAGATTTCGTTTTAAAGGTTAACTGTGGCTCGAGGGTGAAAATCATTGGTTGAAAGTGCACAGCTAGCATGAACACATTGTCTTTTATATCTGATAAATTGGAGCCAAACCTGAGCTCTTACCTAATTCAGTTAAGAATCCAAAAGTGTGAATCCCGAATCTAACTCTGAACATTAATACTAGATTTCAATTCATGCCTGATTAACGTATTTATAAATAAGTTTGACCAAAACTGAATTTTTTAAATCAATTTTAAAGGCATATCGAGACGAAATGTTGGTGTAAATCTATAAATCCACAAGGTTTACATATGACCACAAATTTTACCCAACATTTCCAACATTGCTATGTCATCTCTTATACCTGAATGACTGGTATTTAACTACGTAAAAGAAAAGCCAACTAAAATATTTTAATTCTTAACAGTTTGTGCTGAGCACCATGTTGCAAATTTTTTGTAATCTTTATAATAAAGATTATGATTCAAAGCTATTTTTGTCACAACCAGTATAGAAGTCGCACTTTTCGCTAACAGACCTGGAAAAGTCTTATGAAACAATCGTAGGAAAATATAGACCTTTAGCATAGTGCCTGGAAAGGAGTGGGTTCAATAAGAGTGAAATTTATCGGAGCGATTCGTTTTCCAACACTCCAACACTTTAAGCTAAGAGCTGTGTCTGCAACAATCTGACTCCGTCGGTGTAGTCATGAAGATCAAGGGAATAAGTGAATCGACTTCACAATATTTCAAAATGATACATCCATCACGAAATTGTGCCTAACGTAGTAGCCAATCGTGCGATATGGATAAGAGTTTGGGTGTGAATGCTTCATTTGGGCTATCATGTACTCTCATAAGATGCACTCTTGAGTCTAAGATACATCTTCTGATCCGTCATAGTTGTTGATCCACTGATTTAAAACATCTACATAGTAGTTCATTTCACTTCTCAGGTCTATGTCTTACTTTGCTGCTTCAACGGCTTTTATCAAAGGCAAACTTCAAAAAAGGTTTTGATAGAATATACCGCCTCATCTCATATGTTTTGTGATAGTTTCATGCTATGAATACATCCACTTCTGGAACTTTTACCCGGTGTCAGCGGTTTATCGACATTCGTATAGCGTTGCTTTTTTTCTTTCTCCACACTATGCGTTTCGACTTATCTTTTTCGATAATATCATATTCGATATCGCCACTTTAGTAGTACCGCCATATCTTTCTTTAAAATCTTAGTGAACAAATTATTATAAAAGAAGTAGTCCAGAATTCGTCTATTGCTTAGCGAAATCACACGCATTATATTGAAGTTCGACTCACATTCGCAGTACGAGTTAGATTCCGATGATGCTTTTGAGGAAGCGTAAACGACTAACAAGTTTAGTTTTCATTCTTGTGGTCTGCTTGATATGGATTTGTTCAAGCAAGAATGCGGCAAATGAACAGTTTGTTAAAAAAAGTACCATATACTGAAAAGAAGGTAACTATACAACCACGTAGCCAAGAATTACAGAACGTTGAAAAGAAAAACATGAGTGCTATCAAGGCGTTGAAGTTATCAATGAAAGATCTCTTCCAGAATAGACATACGGTTGTACGAAATGCCTCGTTCTCTCGACAGCATACTTTAATAGCGGACATATCAAAATTAGATATCCCATTACATGCAACTAAACAACAACAATACAGCTATAACATCGATGATTTAGTTTTTGGCATCACTACAACTGTAGAACGGTTAGTGCACATTATCCGTAGCTTAAGGTTCTGGACTCGTGACATAGGTATTCGATGTTTGATCACATTCCATCACACAGAAATAAAGAACCTTGAGACTGCACGCAAACTGTTTGAAATGGAACAGATCCCTTGTTTGACAGATATAACTTTCACACGTAGATACGTGGAGCGATTTTTCGACTTAGTAAATCGAACATGGAGTTTATTAGCTAATAAAACGAACGACTCATCAAACAAAGAAGTTAAATGGTTGTTGATAGGAGATGATGACACTCTGTGGCTTATTCCAAACCTCCTTCGAACGTTAAATAACTACAATTACAAAAAGCCAACCTATCTCGGCGACCACAGTGATCATCTTGAATCAATGCAACGATTTGGCAGGTACTATGCTTATGGTGGCGGAGGCATTGCTTTTAGTCGGCCTCTTGCGCAGAATCTAGCTCACAATATATCTTTCTGTGATAAATATAAGGAGTTATTTGGCGGTGACATGATGCTTGGAAAGTGTGCAACTGAAGTGATGAAAGTACAGCTGTCCCGAGATGTAAAGTTTCATCAGATGGACATACGCGGAGATGCAACGGGATATTTCGAAAGTGGAATTCAAGGCTTGGTTAGTATTCATCATATGTTTTCATGGTGGTCGCCAGTGCCTGGATGGGTGAGTGAGGATAAAGAAGACATCGTGGATCGCTTTTATCAGGCTTATCGAAGCACCAGCTTTTCTTATTTGAAGCGGTATATCTGGATTGATTGGGAGTATAATGAAACGCTTGTCCTCACTTTAGGATATTCTGTCACTATATATAAACAAACCCTTACATCTGAGCAAATCACTGCTGTGGAAGCGACATTTTGCTGTGTACCACTAGTGCGTCGATCAAGAACACCAATCACTCACAGACAAACATGGTATTTCGCGAAGTCATATACAAAAAACCGTTCGTCTGATAATGTATTGCACCATATATATGAATACTCGGCTGCTGACTCCAATTCAAGTTACATTTTAGTAATATTTTATTCATAGCTGCTAGAATAAGAAGCATGTCTGTCGCGATGAGCGGGAACTTTTTTCAAACAGATCAAGAAGAAACTGATAACATGTCAAAAGCGTACTTTAATGAGAGAAGGGAAACAATTATTATTAAATGGTGAAAGTTAGTTAAGCTATTGATACAAGGTACTACAATTTTTCCTTTTATTTTGCCACGTTGATTCCAGAAGATTGGAGTTTTTATTCGAGAATACTTAAATAATCTCACGATTACCCATTAGCTGTATATTTTTTTCTTTTTGTTATTGTTTAACCCACCGGTATCTTTGGCGCTTCCATATGCTAATAAATCGAACGACTTAGTCGATTGATTTGAATGATGTAAGATTTTCACTATTTCCTAATGAAACATTTAATGCATTCATGCCACACTAAGCAGTCATCCTCATGTCACCTGAAGAGTGCTAGTGTAGTTTTATAAAATATACTGAATCAAAAACATTCATTGATAAAATGACAAAATCTGCACGATTTTCACTGGACTAACACACACGTTGGCTCTATATTGAAATTCATCGAAAATAAAATAGTTGTCATCACCAACAAAAGATTTCAACGCTTCTTAAATGTTCCATCCATGTATAAGATCCTGTAAAAGATTATTGATCCTAGGCCATTTTAAAATTCAATGACATCGAGTTGAATTCGACATTTTTCGACTTCTGATATGCTCCTGAAATTGTATGTAGTCGGTTTTGTTACTTTTAATAGATGTGAACGAACCAATGATCTGTATATAACTTAATAGATTTTGCAAGAATCGCTTTTTTCGGCATTATCTGGCATTACGAGATAACGATTATGAATATAGATCGTTATCAATTTAAATATCAAACATTAGATTTCTATCAGCTAACACTTGAAATGTAATTTAAACCTACTTATGTAATTATTAAGCTGTCTTAGTTGGATATTACATATCACTGTATCCGTTTAATAAAAACTATAGATAAGTTTACAGTCTTTCGACTGTAAACTAAATACAGTCACCTGATGGTGAAAATCGCTGCTTTGAGTCGAACGAAAAATACTTTTTTGTATTTATGAAACTGTCGATCTTATAAGATCGTCATGTCTGACTCGCATTAATCAACAACTATTAGGAGATGTCGATCATTTGCTAACAGTCGATCTAACGCTGAAACATCGTAAGCGAGTATCTTCAACAGACTACACTGACTCCGATATTTTATTTCTTAGAATTCGTAGGTGAAAACAAAGGGCTTGAATACGTTAAGATTTCTTACATGCTTTTCCTGCATTGTTTCTTCCTTAGCGACGGAATGTTTTTATGGTAGTCAGTGCCACTGCATGACTGGAAGCGCTTCACTGGCATAGAAGCTATCGTACTTTGCTAAAAAATTATGGCGTAAAGAACGCAGCTATGTTTCAAGATCTGAAAGTTCTTACACACAGAAGTCTCTTTCAGCAAAAAATAGTTGGGAACGGTATACCTTTCTATTGCAAGTGGTATTTGAAATTAGTCACAAAGATGGCCTTGTAACTCGTACAAATACTTTTACATCGTATGAAAATAAAGTTTGTGATAAGTATTACAATGGGAAAAGAGCTAAAAGCAATAGAAGAGTCGCATTAAATGTCTGGTTGAATGTAGTGTTGAATCTATTTTGTGAAACTTCCTGAGTAGTGCTTTTTGTGGTTCTTATATAAGGATAATCCCGTAGGGGCCACTGCTTCTTTTTACAATGAAGATTTGCCGATTAAAATATCTCGACAATATCTTTTTCGAAAAGCAATGCTTTTGTTAAAGAACCGATCAATTGCTTTCACATTACCGTTCTTTAATAATACGTATCCCATAGAGACAAATGCGGTACCGCCTTACATATAAAGGATTTGTCGTCTTGGTTATATTGAACATTATTTGCGGTGCAATATACATGAACTATAGCTTTTCAGAGCTAGAACATAATTACTACCAGAAGTTTACAATTTGTCACAATTCGTCAGTGATCGAATCTGCACCCTGGTTACTACCGAAAGACAAATTGTTGTTCCCATATCATGGCCTGGAGAATAATTTAGACGAACTATTGAACGTGATGACGTCTTGTGATCGTGAAAAGAAGATAGTCATACTACATTTCAGCGCTCGATGGCAAAATATATGTCAAAACAATATTTATACTCTTCTTCGATTTGCTAGAGTTCGAAACTATATCGTTGAAGCTATTGGCGAAAAATCATTACGAGTATGTATTGAACTGAATCTACCCTGTTTCAACGGTGCGTCTTATTTGAAGAAATTTAAAAATTTCAATCCTGACAAAGAAGCTTTGTTTCAGGACGCTAACTTTTATGTTACCGGGTGGCATCGAGTACAATAATATTTAGATATTATACGCAAAGGCTATACCATTATTACTAGTGATAGTGATATTAGCTATAGTAATAAGAATCTCTGGAGATCACTGGAAACATATGCTAATTCAGTTGGAGCTGATGCAGTTTTTTGCGGTGAGATGCCTGTGAACATAGGTCAAATGTATATCAAGTCAAATGAACGATCGATTACTATGCTGGAGGAATGGGCTATATTTGAGAAAAGGAGACCAGGTATTTGGGATCAAGAAGTCATCGCTTTGCTAAACAACGTCAGTTACAGATTATGTAACACAAAGTCGGATTGCGATCTAGTGAAACGTACATCAACAAAAAATATTGACAACAACGCTACTAGTGGCTCTGGGAAAATGGCTGCTGTGCGAACGTATTCTAGTCCGTTCCAACAATATTCTAACGATTTTTGTCCACCGTCGAAGCAAATAGACCCGTGCGACAGTGATGTGCTTTATGTTCACATTATTTGCACGATTGGCAAAGCAAAAAAAGTAGCGAAAATGAAAAAGCTTGGGTTTTGGATGTTAGAAGATTATTGTCAGCGATCAATGTTGAAAAATGAATTGGCCAATAGATACAATCTTGATCCTGATATCAACGCCCACCTTTTTGTTGAAAGGTGTAGGCCAAAAGTCCTGAGATATCCAAACACAGAGGAAAACTTCGCACGGTGTAAGAACGCGCTAGCGTTTATGTGAGCATAACAGATTTCTACACTGGTTAAAGTTTCGACAGATAGATCTTATTAAAAAGTTCGTCAGTATTTGCTAAGAAAATAGCATAGATCATTGGCAATCGGGTTAGAAAAACCATTTTCACAAATATTGCAAAAACCTACTGCAACAATACTCGACACTCACCACCATGTTGAGAGTGCAGAATATGAGCTAAAATACCAGTAATTGGATATTTCGCATAGCAGCATAATATTCCTTTTTATTTGAAACTTGTCGGTGTAAAGTGTACCAGATAGCACAACTACAAGACTATGCACTTGGCCTGTGTACTTTCACATTTCTACTTTTCTCCATATGTACCTAGTACCGATATTGAGGCTGTATAGCTACGGTGATGTATTGGGCTTTGTACAACGCGGTTTTACTTGGCCTATGTTTTGTTCTCATTAGAAACTGGGAACAGAATATGAAGTACACAAAGCTACATAAGAAAATTGCGGGATGCTGTTGATGTCTCCTATGGCGGGCCCTCTCTTAAAACTCAGCATTCCGAATCTCACGTCTAATGCGACTAGCGAGGCTAAACCTTTCACGAAGAAACATTCACAGCGAGACTCCAATGGATGCAAAATATCAGCGCAACATTTAGTCTTCTATTGTTTCAAATCCCTGAGGGAATCACAGACTTTTCCTATATATGTATCTTTACCTATAATTATGATATCGATAGAAAGCAATTATGAATGGGAACACATACAGAAATTTTGCATCTAATGCGAATCTATTCACTACGCATTCCTTTGTACTCAAACTAACGCTGATTCCAAACCCGTTTTATGTAGAAAGTACAAAAAAAAACTAGAAAACATGACATGCATTTTATCCGAGATACGCAAAAAATTAATATATCACAACTTCCCTTCACTATGTTCGATTGAGCTGAAATTTTGCACTTAGAGATTATTCACGATGGGGCTTGATTCGAGCTGTTCAAATCGAAAGTGGTAAAGCAAATTAAATGCCTGCATCTATAGAATCTGGGAATCGTAGCTAAATTCTGTGATATTGTTCAAAAGAGTGCATACACTATAATCCATTTGTAAAAACTTTTGAAGACACAGATTGATAAATCTTGAAGAGCTGGTTTGTACGTAAATAGTCCCAAAGAAACCCATAGCGCCGATTCACCAGATGTGAGCTGGGCCCCTATCCCAATGACCTCGTAATAACGGAGGAAAAATCTTTACGGTAGACACTAGTGTTACTATCGAATGATAGCTTACTATTGGTAATAATCGCCATAAAAAAATAAGATCTTTTTATTGTATCGTTCGTCAGATATTGTAAATTTAACGAAAAGTGTTGCCCAAAATAGGGTTCAAGATATTCGCTGGTCACGACACTTGTAACACTTACATCTTAACAACAGCTTATTCGTTCGAGCTGAAATTCCCGATTTATTCCTACTATACCATGGTCTGACTACCGTAAAAATATCAGCCAAATCTGAGATGATTATTGTACAAGCTTATGCTAAATTGGGCGTGGCCTATGTGCAGTGCCTCCTATACACTTTTTCTAGATTTTTACAACGATCCAAGACAAAAATAGCGGACTACATTGTAACGAAAAAGAAAAGTGGGAAGAACAAGGTGAAGGATAAGCAGATAGACAGTGATATCACAATAGTGTTTCAATATTAAGACCGTTACACAAGGATAATATTGTGAAAGAGGAAAACCTAGAATAGTGTGCCTATTAGCACATACACATCATAATTAAGGGAAATATGCATTATTTTTCGCATCACCAAATGTTTGAACAACACATTTACGGACAACAAGCTATTTGTTTACATGCTTTCGAGTATGCTCTATCAAGCTGAAATGATAAATCCTCTAATCGATGACCTCATAGCTACTCTCTCCAAGGTGGTGCGTTAGGCGTTCATGTCAATATATTCATACTAGCAAGAACCCGTGCATACTGCACGGTAGTTCTTATCACTGTAAACTGATTTTCTGTCAGAATCAAGAGATTAGAAGGTATATATAACTAAAATCTCTGCCACTTACAGAAATCCGAATAATATTTTGTCAACATCCTTTGATAGCCGCTCTTTGAACAGAGTTTCAACAAAAATTCTAGAAACTTCTGGAATATTATAGAAATTATCATTTCATTGCTCATTTTTCACCTTTAACGTTTGATTCGGCACANGGTTAACATCTTCATATGATACTCATCAAAAGTTCGAGAATATTCCAGGAACCCTACTCAGGTATACATAGTTCTGGACTGTTCTAGAAAAACTCATTGTTCATATTTGACCTTTGACCTTTAACCTTTGACCCGGCACAGAGAAACACACACACACACACTGAACATTATATATTCATATTACATGTACATTTTGATCTTGCCTAACGTTTATAATCTTCTACAGCAAAGCAAACTGATAATTATTGATTAGCTTCTAAGTTGAGTATCCTACCAAAAACTCATCGATGTTGACTGCATTACGATGTTTTCGTGGTTTATAAGCAAATAGCTTCTCGTACTGAATAAGCACATTTCTGAGATAGCAAAGAATAGCTTGTTCATTGAGATATTTTTGTACCAGATTTTTGCCATTTATTCCAATGAACTTTGCTTTCTGAGGGTCATGCATTAAATTTCGCGTTAAATTATGAAATGAGTCCTCATTGCCTCTGTCTCTCCAAATTAGAGCATTATAGTCATGTTTCAATAAATGATGCCAATATTCTTCCCAACCACGAAAGTTCGCAAAAATCACGGGCGATCCACAAAGTAGTAAATACTTCAATCGGTTAGAGTAAGACCAGCCTTCTTGATGGAGCAGATATTGATACTGGCAAAACTGCTGTATAGTTTTAAAATTCTCAGAATAATGGATATTGAGAGAGCTTGGTTTCCAATCAATGAACTCGATATCCAACTTTGAGTCATTTTTTCTCTGACCGATGTCTGTCAGCCATTGGCGACCTCCGTTTCGCGCTCCTCGCCACATCAGTTTGTGGACTCGATTCTCCCACTTGATTTTTTCGGACACTTTGGGTAACGTCTCCAGAACAGACCGCCATCTGCCAATTTTAGGTGCCGTAAACACCCATAGTGTAAAGCATGGAATAAGCACGATACCATCAGGATGTAAACCCCAGATAGGTTCTTTGCGTGTTTTGGTAAATCCAAAAACCGGCACCTTGTGTCTCTTTTTATTGAGCTTTGTGGATTTCAGCATCACAGCGTCCTCTAAGGAAAAATACTTAGTTATTCTTTATTGAGTAATCGGAAAACAATTCAAAGGAAGTTAAAAGCAGGACGTCACTTTTATTTGTGATAAATTCACTCTACTTGCCGGTATTGGGAGTAAATTCGCTTATGGCTTTCCAGAAATATGTCGAACGATTTGTTTAAATACCTCTGACATAGTATGTTGCATAATGTATGCTTACAGACCAGTTAATGAGGAATTTGATTTTACAGCAACTTCAAATCATTGTCAATATTCCAATTGGAGAGCCTCAAAAAAAATGTATTTCTCGGTTAATACAAACTCCGTCAAATGCTGCCAAATGTGTAGATTCTATCAGTCAAAGCAATAATAATAATACAACAAATTGCAATCATTATATTCGATCAATTGTATCGATCTTCTTTCTATGTGTATCTTGGTGGTATACACGCGTTAGCGGTGTGGTGAGAATGCGGGGAATGACTGAATAGTTAAATAGCTGATTTCAACTTTCGAGCTCGAAACTACTGATAACTCTAACACCGCTATACTGCTCTGCTGTTAGCTTTCTTATGCTTTATTTAGTCAGTATAAGATGCTTTTTCTGATTTTGCTACTAGTCAGTTATCTTTTCTGAAGTCAATTTTGCTGTAAAGTCATATTTCTCAGCTTTTGTTAGACATACCAATCCAGACTAAAAATAATTCGACTTCTATTCTAGAATCTGAGTCGAATGAAGTCGGTTAAGATTTGGATTGGAATTGATCCGAGACTGACTGAAAAATATTATTATTTGAAACTCAACCAAGACTAGTTTTGAAAAGTCCTCGTCAGCATCAGACGACTTCTCAATAACATTAAGCGTTTCGAACTAGTTTCCCATTGGATCTGACGGAGTTTCTCAAAGTCGGTAACTATGTCACGTCAGCTTTAAATCAATTCCAGCAAACCTCAGCCGGTTTCAACCGATTTCGATCGATTTTAGAATCGGGATTGTTGCACGCCTACGTATAATGTTTTGGTCTGCTCTCAGTATTGATCAACTTCATTGAAA